GAGGCTGCCGGGAGGAGGGAGGGTGCTAGGCCCTCTGGAGATGCTCCAGTTCGGGGGTGCTTGGGGGGTGCTTGGGGCGGCAGATTGCTCACCGCCTCTGGCTGCCCCCCACCCGCTACCCCCGTCCCGGAATCCGTAGATGGCGTGGTGCAGTTAGCCCGGAGTAGAACGGAGCGCTGGGGAGCTGGCCGGCCCTGGGTGTCCTCCCCGGGAGCTCCGCCCTCCAGGCGCGTGTCCCGCCTTAAGGGGGAGGGGGGGAGGGAACCCTTTTAAAAAAGACAAGATCGGAGCAGGTGCTGAGGACCGTCCCGGCACCCTGGGGACCAGCCACCCGGTGAGTTCCCGTTCCCTAGGTGGGGACCCGGGTGAACCCCCCCCCCCTCGATCAGACTTAAAAGTTTTCTCCCAACACGCTAAAACGGCTTCTCCTCTCCCTCCTCCTCCCCACCCGAAACCTCCTCCCCTTATCTGTTCTAGGGCAGAGCTTCTCTCTCTCCGCCCCCCCCCCCCCACTCCTAGCCCATGAGAGAGATTCCTACCAGTCAAACATTGTTTTTGGGAGGATGCGGGGTAAGGGGGTGCGGGGTCGGTCGTGGGGCTTGAACTCTGGGCCTGGGCCGCTGTCTTCAACTTAAGGCAAGCGCCTCTACCATCTGAGCACCACTTCCAGTTTTCTGGCCCGGTTCATTGGAGATAAGGGTCTCACAGACTTTCCTGCCTGGGCTGGCTTTGAACCATGATCCTCAGATCTCAGCCTCCTGAGTAGCTAGGATGACAGGGGTGAGCCGCAGGAGCCCCTCTGGAGATTTTTTTTTTTTAACCCTCAGGTTAGATCTTTCCAACAGATCAGAACTTGTCTTCTGGTGAATACTCTCTCAGGATTCCAATTCCCTCTTGCTGAGACTGGTCCCTTGTAAGCTTCATTTCTAGGTGAGATCATTCCCTACTTAACGTGAGAGCCTCTCCACTCCCCCTTCTCTTCAAATGAGAACTTGCTATTTCTACAAAGACCCTTTTTCTCAGAGATTCCCCTCCCTCTCCCTACCATTGGCTTTCTCTGTCTAGGCCTCACTTTCTCAAAATCCAGACTTTAGAGGCCAGAGGCTCAGGAACAAAACCATTCTTCCCTATGCAGAGAATTGTCTTATCTGCAGACCTGTGGCTTGCTGCTCTTAGCCAGCCAAGGCCGGGCTCATAGGGCATCTGGAGAAGGACTTGGGAGGGATTGGACAAGGATCTGATCCCAGAGGGCAAGGGCCTAGGAGGAGGGAGCTAAGAAAGGCAGTCAGCCTGGACCTAGACCTGGACCTGGACTGGTACTCGGGGCTGGGCAGCCACACCTAAGCTGAATGTGTAGCACTCATCTTGCTATCCCTCTATAAGGGACTTTGGCCCAGAAAGAGGCTTCTACGAGCCAAAGTTCAGGTACTACCCCTGCCTGGGTGTGAGCATGGGGCCCCGCAGGGACTGAGCTGGGAGCCTGAATCTTTTATTTTTTTTTGTCAATTGTGGGGCTTGAACTCTGGGCCTGGGTGCTATCCCTGAGCTTTTCAGCTCAAGGCTAGCGCTCTACCACTTGAACCACAGTCTCACTTCCGGTTTTCCAGTGGTTGATTGGAGATAAGAGTCTCACAGACTTTCTTGCCCCTGCTGGCTTTAAACTATGTTCCTCCAATCTCAGCCTTCTGAGTAGTTAGGATGACAGGCGTGAGCCTCCAGTGCCAGGCTGGGAACCTGAATCTTAACTTGATCTTTGGGATCTAGTGAGGGAAAACAAATCAAGTAGAAGGATAAAGAAGGTTACACTTGGGAGGTACCCTCACTCTGTCTCTGTTCTTGTCACCCCAGACCAAAGGATACACAGACACTGCTGTCTGCTAGGCCAGATGGAGCTACACAAGCGAGACTATCACGTGGAAAGACCCTTGCTGAACCAAGAGCAGCTAGAGACACTGGGACACAGGAGCTCAGCACCTAAGACCCGCCAGTGGCAAACTTGGTTTCAGTAAGGCCCAAGATTTAAAAAAAAAAAAAACTGGGAGGTTCCAATGGGGTCCAAATAATTCCCATCTTTAATAGGTATCAATACCTGCTTCTAGATGCTCTCGATCTCGCGCCCGTGCCTTTTTGCTCCAACATCTTCCAGTCTTAGCTTGGTTACCCCGCTATCGGGTGCGTGACTGGCTCTTGGGTGATCTCTTATCTGGCTTGAGTGTGGCCATCATGCAACTCCCACAGGGTAAGTCACCTTGAAAGCACTGGCCTACTTCCAAGTCTAGGATACCCCATGCTTGGAACTCTCGACTTCTGACCCTTGACCTATAGCCCCCTGACCTAGGGTTTGAATTCCTCCCCCCTCCAACCTTTTGAGATCCTCATCTCCAAACTTGTATTGCTTCCATTCTACCTAAGGCTTGGCGTATGCCCTCCTGGCTGGATTGCCCCCTGTGTATGGCCTCTACAGTTCCTTCTACCCCGTCTTCATCTACTTCCTCTTTGGGACTTCCAGACATATCTCTGTGGGTAAGTAGGAATCAGACCTAGCCTTCCAGGAGGCTGTCCATCTCTCCCCTGGAGGATAGGGAGACAGAGGGCTGAGCAGAGCTGGAGAGCTTGGGGGAGAGGGGAACGTGCATGTCAAGTTACTAGGAAGCTGGCTGATGGGGTATCCCAGACAGAACCATTCCACTAACTGGGGTCCCAGATTAAGGGCATCTCCAACCTCCTGGTATCTAGATTAGGAGGAAGTGAATGGATGAAGCAATTCATGCCCAGTAAGTGTGACGCAGGCCCTGACTCCCTTCTTCATTCCACTGTCCTTAGACTAATAGACACAGGAGGGGCCTGAGTGCTAAGCTGGGTGCCAGTGGCTCACGCCTGTAATCCTAGCAACTCAGGAGGCTGAGATCTGAGGATTGCAGTTGGAAGCCAGCCCACGCAGAAAAGTCTGAGAAATTCTTTTTTTTTTTTTTTTTTTGCCAGTCATGGTACCTGAACTCTGGGCCTGGGCACTGTCCCTTCAGCTCTTCAGCCTAAGGCTAGTACTCTACCACTTGAGCCACAGTGCCACTTCCGAATTTTTCTGTTTATGTGGTGCTGAGGAATCGAACCCAGGGCCTCATGCATGCAAGGCAAGCACTCTACCACTGAGCCACCTTCCCAGCCCCATCTTTTTTTTTTTTTTTGTCGGTTGTGGGACTTGAACTCTGGGCCTGGGCTCTGTCCCTCAGCTCTTCATCTCAAGGCTAGCACTCTACCACTTGAGCTGCGGCACCACTTCTGGTTTTCTGCTGGTTTATTAGAGATAAGAGTTTAATGGACTTTCCTGTGCGGGCTGGCTTTGAACTGCAATCCTCAGCTCTCAGCCTCCTGAGTTGCTAGGATTACAGGTGTGAGCCACCAGTGCCCCCGGCTTGTTTTTGTTTTTTTGTTGGTCATGGGGCTTGAACTCAAGGCCCCTGGCACTGTCCCTGAGCTCTTTTGCTCAAGGCTAGCACCCTACCACTGAGTCATAGCTCCACTTCCCAATTTTGAGTGGTTCATTGGAAATAAGAGTCTCATGGACTTTCCTGCCTGGGCTGACCCCCTGAGGAGCAAGGATAACAAGCATGAGCCACCAGCACCTGGCTTGTGAAATTCTAATCTAAACCAGAAGTGGCGCTATAGGCCGGCTTTGAAAGAATGGCACCCAATGCTACTGGCTCACGCCTGTCATCCTAGCTGCTCAGGAAGCTGAGATCCAAGGATCAGGGTTCAAAGCCAGCCTGGGTAGAAAAGTCTGTGAGACTCTGATTTCTCATTAACCACTAGAAAACCAGAGATCGTGGTGTGGCTCAAAGTGGTAGAGTGCTAACCTTGAGCAAAAGAAGCTTGGGGACAATGCCCGGGCCTTGAGTTCCAGCTCCACAACTGATAAAACAAACAAAAACAGAAAGAATGACTCCCCCTCCACCCCCAGGCCCTGAGTTCAAGTCCCAGTCCTAGTACACACACCCCTAAAGGAACCTTGTTGGGCTGGGAAAATGTGCCTAGTGGTAGAGAGCTTGATTAGCATGCATGAAGCCCTGGGTTCGATTCCTCAGTACTACATAAACAGATAAAAAGCTAGAAGTGGCAGTGTGGCTCAAGTGGTAGAGTGCTAGCCTTGAGCAAAAGAAGCTCAGGGACAGTGCCCAGGCCCTGAGTTCAAGCCCCAGGACTGGCAGAGAGAAGGAGAGGAAGAGGGAGAAGGAGAGGACCTTGTGAGCTCAGGGTTCATTTCTGACTTTGGCTTACCTAATTTGCCAGCCCTGACCCCATTTGTATAGCCATAGTCTGATGGCATTCATGAAGACCAAGGCAGACCTCTCTTTCAGTGGTGTCCTGCTTTCCATCCAGGGACCTTTGCTGTCATGTCTGTCATGGTGGGGAGTGTAACAGAATCTCTGGTTCCGGATAACGGCTTCTCAAACGGGACAGACAGTGACAGTCGTGTGCAGATCGCCTCTACACTGAGTGTCCTGGTCGGCCTCTTTCAGGTGTGGAAGGTGTTTGTGTCTTGCACTCTCTGCCCCCCCTCCCCCCTCCATTTCCTCCCAGATCTGTCTGATTGTGTCTGATGGCCATCACTTTTCCTGTTGGCACACAGCCTCCTCCGATCCCACCTATCTTGGGCTCTGCTTCCTGGCCTTGACTTCTGGTGTATCTACAGGTGGGGCTTGGCCTGGTCCACTTCGGTTTCGTAGTCACCTACCTGTCGGAGCCTCTGGTCCGCAGCTATACCACGGCTGCATCTGTGCAAGTGTTCATCTCCCAGCTCAAGTATGTGTTTGGCATCTCTCTGACCAGTCGCTCTGGGCCACTGTCCCTCATCTATGTGAGTGAGGGTAGAGGCCGGGTGAGGAAGGTGTGCCCCATGACTTGAGTATTGGCTGACCGCATCTCTCCCCAGATGCTGCTAGAGATCTGCTCAAAACTGCCAGAGACCGTGGTGGGCACGGTGATCACCGCATTGGTGGCTGGAGTGGTGCTTGTGTTGGTGAAACTATTGAATGACAAACTGCAGCGGTATCTGCCCCTGCCCATACCTGGAGAGTTGCTCACGGTGAGAGGGTCAGGGTGTGTGTGGGGGTGGAGGGCAGAGGACAAGGGAACACTTAGAAAGATCCTTGCCAGGGGCCGGGCATGTGGCTTAGTGGTAGAGTGCTTGCCTAGCATGCAGGAAGCCCTGGGTTCCATTCCTCAGTACCACATACACAGAAACAGTCGGAAGTGGCGCTGTGGCTCAAGTGGTAGAGTGCTAGCCTTGAGCCAAAGAAGCTCAGGGACAGTGCCCAGGCCCTCAGTTCAAGCTCCAGGACGGGCACCAAAAGAAAAACGAAATCCTTGCCCGAGGGTGAAGCCTCACAGTATTTCAGAGTGACTTGGGGATGTCTCTGTGGGAGGTTCCTGTGTATTGGGGGTTGGGATTGTAGTAGAAAGCCATCTGGTTGACCTGGCCTCTGTAGCTCATGCCTGTCATCTTAGCTCCTCCAGACACTGAAATAGGAAGATCGCGGTTCAAAGCCAGCCCTGGGCAGGAAAGTCCATGAGATTCTTTTTTTTTTTTTGGGTCCGGTCGTGGGGCCTGAACTCTGGGCCTGGGCGCTGTCCCTCAGCTCTTCAGCTCAAGGCTAGCACTCTACCACTTGAGCCACAGCGCCACTTCCGGCTTTTTTCTTTTTGCTTATGTGGTGCTGAGGAATCGAACCCAGGGCCTCATGCATGCAAGGCAAGCACTCTACCACTGAGCCACCTTCCCAGCCCGTCCATGAGATTCTTATCACCAATGATCTGCCAGAAAATTGGAAGTGGTATTATGGCTCAAAGTGGTAGAGTGCTAGAGTTGAGTAAAAGAGCTCAGGGTTAGCACCCGTACCCTATTTCAAGCCCCAGGACTCACACACACACACACACACACACACACCTTTTTTGTGAGGCTTGAACTCTGGGCCTGGGCGCTGTCCTTCAGCTCTTCAGCCTAAGGCTAGTACTCTACCACTTGAGCCACAGTGCCACTTCCGAATTTTTCTGTTTATGTGGTGCTGAGGAATCGAACCCACGGCCTCATGCATGCAAGACAAAGCACTCTACCACTGAGCAACCTTCCCAGCCCCCAAACTGTCTTCTTCATCTCCCTGAAAAGAATGCCAGCACCTCCTTACCCCTAACTCTGTCATTCTCCACATTGCCCTCCTCTATCCCCTCCAGCTCATTGGGGCTACAGGCATCTCTTACGGTGTGGAACTGAAGAAAAGATATGGGGTGGATGTTGTGGGCGATATTCCTGCAGGGTAAGGTGAACCTCAGTTGGGGTAGGGAGGTTGGGGCAGCCAGAGGTAGGCCCTTCCTCTGACCTCCTACGTCTGTTTTTGTAGGCTGATACCTCCAAAAGCCCCCAAGCCTGAGCTGTTTGCACAGCTCGTGGGGAATGCCTTTGCTATTGCTGTAGTTGGATTCGCCATTGCCATCTCTCTAGGGAAGATCTTCGCCCTGAGGCATGGTTACCGCGTGGATAGCAACCAGGTTTGCATGGTGTGGGCACCACAGCTGGACAGAAGCATCCCAGGAATTGGTGGTAGGGAGGAAGTGGAGAGGGGGGGGGGCCAGGTGATACTCAGGTGGGACTGAGAAGGGGAAAACAAAGATGTGTAGGACACCAAGCGCTGATGGCTCACTCCTGTCATGCTAGCTACTCAGGAGGCTGAGATCTGAAAATCCGCTGTTCAAAGCCAGCCCAGGCAGGAAAGTCTGTGAGACTCTTATCTCCAATGAACCACCAGGAAACCGGAAGTGGCGCTGTGGCTCAAAGTGGTAGAGTGCTAGGCTTGAGCAAAAGAGCTCAGGGACAGCGCTCAGGCTCTTGAGTTCAAGCCCCACGACTGACCAAGTAAAGAAATGAATGTGTAGGACAGGCAGACACCCAAATATTTGGAGGCCATTGAGTGGGTGTGAAGGGTTGGGGGTGCATTATCCTGATCAGGCACCTCTTAATGAGTTCCTCACATTCACCCTGCCCTACCAGGAGCTGGTGGCTTTGGGCCTCAGTAACTTCATTGGGGGATTCTTCCAGTGTTTTCCCGTGAGTTGCTCTATGTCTCGGAGCCTGGTCCAGGAGAGCACTGGAGGCAACACACAGGTGGGTGTTTTGGAGGTGTGGGTAGAGGGGAAGACATAGCTTGATGTACAAAGATGTAGCCTGGCCTGGGAAGGTGGCTTCGTGGTAGAGTGCTTACCTAGCATGCATGAAGCCCTGGGTTCGATTCCTCAGTACCACTTCAACAGAAAAAGCTGGAAGTGGGCTGGGAAGGTGGCTCCGTGGTAGAGCGCTTGCCTTGCATGCATGAGGCCCTGAGTTCGATTCCTCAGCACCACATAAGCAAAAAGAAAAGCCGGAAGTGGCGCTGTGGCTCAAGTGGTAGAGCGCTAGCCTTGAGCTAAAGAGCTGAGGGACAGTGCCCAGGCCCAGAGTTCAGGCCCCACGACTGGACCCCCAAAAAAAGAAAAAGCTGGAAGTGGCATTGTGACTCAAGTGGTAGAGTGCTAGCCTTGAGCAAAAGAAGCTCAGGGACAGTGCTCAGGTCCTGAGTTCGAGCCCCAGGACTGGCAAAGAAAAAAAGAGAAAGGAAGAAAGAAAGGAAGGAATAAAGGAAGACAGACAGGAAGGAAGGAAAGGAAGGAAGGAAGGAAGGAAGGGAGGAAGATGGATGTGGTCCCCACATCCCCACCCCCATAGCCCCTATGGGGTTCACCTCCACTCCCTTTTTGTCCGTACTCTGTAGGTTGCAGGGGCTGTATCTTCCCTTTTCATCCTCCTCATCATCCTCAAACTTGGGGAGCTCTTCAAAGACCTGCCCAAGGTGAGTTCTCACCCCTCCCTATCAGGCTTCAGGACCTGGGCCAAGCCAGGGCTCAGATTGGTCAAGCTTCATTCCTAGTGAAGGACACAGATTCATGATACCATGGGGTTCAAGTTGAGGGCTTTAGGATATGAGTTTAGAAGCAAAGATCAGAGGTTAGAACTTTTCAGAATCATGAGCTGGGAATATGGCTTAGAGGGAGAGTGCTTACAAAATCCTGGGTTCGATTCCTCAGTACCACTTTGACAGAAAAAGCCAGAAGTGGTGCTGTGGCTCAAGTGGTGGAGTGCTAGCCTTGAGCAAATGAAGCTCAGGGACAGTGCCCGGGCTTTGAGTTCAAGTCACAGGACTGGCAATAAGAAAAGAAACAAAGGCTTTTCAGAGTCAGAGCCAAATGGTTAGGGTCACATTGGGTGGTAGTTGCTGTGGGATGGGGCTGTGCCCAGTGTTTGGAGTCAGGCCTGGGTGGTTGGAGTTGTCAACATCTGGGTACCTCTCAGCCATCCTGGTGACATTCCTTCTACCACAGGCAGTCCTGGCAGCTACCATCATTGTCAACCTAAAAGGCATGATGATGCAGTTTTCTGACATATGCCGGCTCTGGAAGACGAATCGAATGGATCTGGTGAGGCTCAGGCACCTGGGGCTGGGAGCTTCAGGTGCAGTGGTCCTTCTGGACCTGTGTGTGTGTGTGTGTGTGTGTGTGTGTGTGCCCATGCACACACACACACACACTCTGGTGTTGGAGCCCAAACTCAGGGCCTGAGCCCCTTTCCATTCAGCTTTTCCACTCCAGGTTGGCGCTCTGCCACTAGAGCCACAGCTCCACTTGGAGCTTCTGGCTGGTTCATTGGAGCTAAGCGTCTCATGGACTTCCCTGCCTGGGCCAGCTTCGAGCCATGATCCTTCAATCTCAGCTTCCTGAATGACTCTTGATTCGAGTTGGGAACCATTAGCTCCCCTGGACCCGTTGACCCTTGGCTTCTCTGTTTTCAGCTCATCTGGCTGGTGACCTTTGTGGCTACCATTCTGCTGAATCTGGACATTGGCCTGGCGGTTGCAATAGGCTTCTCTCTGCTGCTTGTGGTGGTCCGGACCCAGCTGTGAGTCACCTGTTTCTTGCTCACCCCTCAATTCCAGCTGGTGAAGGAATAAGTTCCACACTGGCTCCCGCTAGCTTTGTGGGGAGGTGAGGATCACAGGCCCCTTTCTGTGTCTCTTCTTATTCTTTATTTTTTTTTTTGGGTCCGGTCGTGGGCCTTAACTCTGGGCCTGGGCGCTGTCCCTCAGCTCTTCAGGTCAAGGCTAGCGCTCTACCACTTGAGCCACAGCACCACTTCTGGCTTTTTTCTTTTTGCTTATGTGGTGCTGAGGAATCGAACCCAGGGCCTCATGCATGCAAGGCAAGCACTCTACCACTGAGCCACCTGAGCCACTCTTCTTATTCTTTTTATTCATTTATTTTAGTCAGTTGTGGGGTTTGAATTCACAGCCTGGCTGCTGTCCCTGAGCTCTTTTCAAGGCTAGCACTTTACCACTTTGAGCCACAGCTGTACTTCCCGTTTTTGAGGGAATTCATTGGAGACAGGAGACTCATGGGGTCTTTCCTGCCCGGGTTGGCTTTGAACTGCAATCCTCAGATCTCAGCCTGTTGAGTGGTGGGATTATAGGCGTGACCCACCAGCGCCTGTCTTTTTTGCCTCTTTCTTCTTGTGCTCACTTTCTCCTCTACAGGCCTCACTACTCTATCTTGGGGCAACTTCCAGACACGGATGTTTACAGAGACGTGACAGAGTACTCCGAGGTGAGTGACCGGCTGAACAGGAGATCTGAGGGGTGGGGTAGGCCAACAGAGCAGGATTTTGTGAGTCTGTTCCATATTGACAGGGGACTGAAAGCACTTTGTGTCTATGCTTATTTGTTCTGTTTTTGTGCCAGGCAGAGAGAAAGCCTAGGTAGGGTTGATATAGAAAGACAAGGAAGCCAGGTGCTGGTGGCTCATACCTGTCATCCTCACTACCCAGGATGCTGAGATCTGAGGATCATAGTTCAAAGCCAGCCCAAACAGTAAAGTTCATGAGACTCTTATCTCTAGTGTTGATTTGGTTTGTTTTTTTTGTGTGTGTCAGTGATGGGACTCGAACTCAAGGCCTAGACACTATCTCTGAGCTCTTTGGCTCAAGGCTGGCACTCTACCTCTTTGAGCCACAGCACCATTTCTGGTTGTCTGGTAGTTCATAAGAAATGTCTCCCAAATTTTTCTACCCAGGCTGGCTTTGAACTGGTATCTTCATCTCAGCCTCCTGAGTATCTAGGATTACAGGCATGCGCCACTGATGCCTAGCTTCTTATCTCTAATTTTAACCAACAGAAAACTGAAAGTGGAGTTATGGCTCAAGTGGTAGAGCGTTAGTCTTGAGGAAAAACAAAAGTTCAGGGACAGTGCCCAGGCCCTGAGTTCAAGCCCCAGAGCTGACAAAAGAAAGAGAGAAAGAAAGAAAGAAAGAAAGAAAGAAAGAAAGAAAGAAAGAAAGAAAGAAAGAAAGAAAAAGAAAGAAAGAAAAGAAAGAAGAGAAAGAAAGAAAGAAAGAAGAGAGAAAGAGAGAGAGACAGAGAGTCAAGGTGCTACCATAAGGCTCATAGTCCAGGCTCTGGGAAAGGCATGAACTTTAGGCTGGGGGACAGAAGGTAGGGTGATGTGTATCAGGTACTCTAGATGGGAAAAGGAGATGCAGCAGAAGGCAAGGATGGTTTAACCTCAACTACACCTCATTCCCAGGCCAAGGAGGTCCCAGGTGTGAAGGTCTTCCGCTCCTCAGCCACCATGTACTTTGCCAATGCAGAGCTCTATGGCGATGCCCTAAAGAAGAAGGTGAGGCTGGACTTCCCCCAGGGAGAATCCAAGGATCCTTCACTTGCCCAGAATACCCCCCAATCCCCACCTTTGACTCTTGCCTTTAGTGTGGTGTGGATGTGGACCATCTCATCGCTCAGAAGAAGAAGTTGCTGAAGAAGCAGGAGAAGAAGTTAAAACAACAGCAGAAAGATCAGAAGTCTCAGAAAAAGGCAGGCCCTCCTCAGTATCTGAGTCTTGACCCTGCCTTCTGCTTGCCTCCTGCCTTGCTGTGGACCCCAGCCAATCTGTACCTTGACCTCTACCTCCTGCCCTGCTGTTGCTCTTCCCAGGCTTTTCTATCAGGCCTTTGTTATTTATTTTCTTGGTCAATTGTGGAGCTTGAACTCAGGGCCTAGGTACTGTCCCTGAGCTCTTTTTTTTTTTTTTTGCCCAAGGCTGATACTCCACTACTTTGAGCCACAGTTCCACTTCTGGTTTTCTGGTGGTTGATGAAAGATAAGAGTCTTATAGACTTTGCTGTCCAGGTTGGCTTTGAACCTTAATCTTCAGATCTCAGACTCCTGAGGAGCTAAGATGACAAGTGTGAGCTACCAGCACCTGGCTCCCTTTTCCATTTTTTTATGACTATTCCCAGGATTTAATCAGAACCCTGACATCATCAGCCTGGCTGCCCCAGATCCTGAGGCTTTGAGTCCTGGCCTTACTATTTGCCCACAGCCAGAGAATGGTGCCTCTCCTGCCTGGCTATAGGCAGCTGGACAAGTTCTACAATGTCTCTCCTTTTCCCCGGTTTAGGCTTCCCGTTCCAAAGGCACGTCGGTTTCCATCAATGTTGACACCAGCCTTGGAGATATAAAGAACAATGATGTAGAAGGCTCCAGAGCCAAGGTGAGGAGAGAGGAGCAGAGGAGGGGCCAGCCATGCGCTGTAGATCCACACATGCACTGTGAAAAAAGCCAAGGAGCTTTGGTACCAGTGGTGGGAGGAATGGAATGATGGCTGAGACACCACAGGAAGATTGCTGATAATGTAGAATGCTATGTATTGACACTTTTGTCCATAATCTCAACTTTAGGTGAAAAAGACCTAGAGTTTCCCAGCCCTGGTGGCTCATACCTGTTATCCTAGCTACTCAGGAGGCTAAGATCTGAGGATGGCAGTTCAAAACCAACGTAGGCAAGGATGTCCATGAGACTCTCATCTCCAATTACCCACCAGAAAACCGGAAGTGGTACGTGGTTCAAAGTGGTAGAGCACTAGCCTTAAGATAAAGAGCCCAGGGAACAGCACTTAGGCACTGAGTTCAAGCCCTGTGACCAACAAAAAACAAGCAAACCTAGAGTTATAGAAGCCCTAAGATCCTAATCTGGTAGTCGGGCACTGGTGGCTCACATCTGTAATTCTAGTTACTCAGAAGACTAAGATCTGAGGGTAATGATTCAAAGCCAGCCAGGGCAGGAAAGTCTATGAAACCCTTCTCTCCAACTAACTACCAAGCAATGCCTGAAGTGGAGCTGTGACTCAAGTGGTAACATGCTAGCTTGAGCTAAAAAAGGTCAGGCCCGATGTGGAAAATGGGCTGTATAACTTGTGGGTAGGGACAGGAGAGAAAAACTGGGAAAAAGTAAAGAAAGGGTGACATTGTCCAAAAAGAAATGTACTCATTACCTGACTTAGGAAACTGTACATCACCTTTATAACATTGAAAAAATATTTAATTTAAGGCTGGCAACGTGGCTTAGTGGTAGAGTGCTCACCTAGCATGCATGAAGCCCTGGGTTCGATTCCTCAGTACCACATACACAGAAAAAGCTGGAAGTGGCGCTGTGACTCAAATGGTAGAGTGCTAGCCTTGAGCAAAAGAAGCTCAGGAACAGTGCCCAGGCCCTGAGTTCAAGCCCCAGGACTGGAAAATAAAATAAGAGCCAAATTCAATTCAAGACTTAGCCAAGTTGGGGTACCAAGGTGTATGAGTACACGGTTTTGTTTTTGCCTGTCCTTGGCTGGCTGAGGGTGAGCTGTGATCTCCCCAACTTCTTCCCTTCTTGTGTCTTCAGTAAGCCTAGAACAGTTGCGCATGTATGTCAGGCTCTCCTGTCCTGTATCTCTTGCTGGTCTTTTTGTTGTTGTTGTTCATGAGGCTTGAACTCAGGGTGCTGTCCCTGAGCTCTTTCACTCAAAGCTAGTGCTTTACCATTTAGAGCCACAACACCACTTCTGCTTTTCTGGTGGTTCATTAGAGGTTAGAGTATCGTGGGCTTTCCTGCCCAGGCTGATTTTGAACCATGGTCCTCAGATCTCAGATCCCTAAGTAACTAGGATTATAAGTGTGAGCCACCAGCACCTGGCTCTCTTACCTGTCTTTGTGTTCGTGCTAGCTCTGAGACTTGAACTCAGGGCCTAGATGCCGTCCTTAAGCTTTTGTGCTCAAGGCTCGTGTTCTACCACTTTGAGCCACAGCTCCACTTTGGGCTTTTTTGGTTCACTGAAAATAAGATTTTCGGGGGTTTCCCTGCCCAGAGCTGGCTTCAAACAGTGATCCTCAGATCTCAGCTTCCTGAGTAGCTAGGATTACAAGTGTGAGCCACCAGTGCCTGGCCCTAGCTTTGTCTATATTCTGTTCCCTCCACTATCTCAGTCCTCAGAATCTCTGATTTCACCCTATTGTTAGGGGTGCATTCAGCATGTGTATCTTCCCCACACAGGTGAACACAGGGGACGAGATAGAAGATGTAACAGTCAACGATCAAGAAACTACCAAGACCCCCAATGTGTCCACACTGAAGTCCCTAGGTCTGCCTCAGCCAGACTTCCACACTCTTATCCTGGACCTGGGCACACTCTCTTTCGTAGACACTGTGTGCATCAAGAACTTAAAGAATGTAAGGGGGACTGGCAATGTGGCTGTGGCTTAGTGGTAGAGCGCTTGCCTAGCATGCATGAAGCCCTGGGTTCGATTCCTCAGTCCCACATCCACAGAAAAAGCCGGAAGTGGCCCTGCGGCTCAAGTGGTAGAGTGCTAGCCGTGAGCAAAAGAAGCTCAGGGACAGTGCCTAGGCCCTGAGTTCAAGCCCCAGGACTCGCAAAAAAAGAAAAAAAAATAGGGACCAGGTGCCATTGGCTTACTCCTATAATCCTAGCTACTCAGGAGATTGAGGTCTGAGGATTGTGGTTTGAAGCCAGCCCTGAGCAGGAAAGTCCATGAGACTTTCATCTCCAATGAACCACCACAAAAGCCAGAAGAAGAGCTGTGGCTCAAAGTGGTAGAAGGCTAGCCTTGAGCAAAGGAGCTCCAGGGACAGTGCCTATGCCTTGAGTTCAAGCCCCATGACTGACCAAAAAAAAAGAAAAAGAAAGAAGAAGCTCAAAGACAGCACCCAGGTCCTGAGTTCAAGCCCCAGGACCAGCCCTCTGAGTCCTCTGGTCCTTCCCATCCCACAAGCTCCCCCGTCGTGGGTCTTGAACTCTGGGCCTGAGCGCTGTCCCTCAGCTCTTCAGCTCAAGGCTAGCGCTCTACCATTTGAGCCACAGCACCACTTCCGGTTTTCTTGGAGACAAGAGTCTCATGAACTTAACTTCCCAGGCTGGCTTTGAACTGCGATCCTCAGATCTCAGCCTCCTGAGTAGCAAGGATGACAAAGTATGAGCCATCGGCGCCCAGCACCTCTCCCCCTTCTTAAGTCTGCCTGACTGCTCCCCTGAATCCAGCCCCTTTGTTGCTACAGATTTTTCGTGACTTCCGGGATTTGGAGGTGGAGGTGTACCTTGCGGCCTGCAACAGTATGTTGAGTGGGGGGTCAGTGGGAGAAATTGAGGAAGAGCAGATGGGACTTGTGGGCAGTGCTAAAGCCTGAACCAGGGTTTTGTCCTTGCTAGCTGAAGATCTTCTATTTATGTTTAGTTTTTCTGAGATATGATCTTGCTTCACATTGCCTGAGATGGGTCAGAGTATCTTCCTGCCTATCCCTCCCAAGTAGCTGAGATTACAGGTAGGGACCACGCTACTTGGCTTAGAGGTTAAGACTCTGTGGGCTAATCAGTTAAGCATTCAACACCGAGAAACTGGAGGTCAGAGATAAACTGGGGGTCAGGAGTCAAGAAGGGTTGGGTGGCAAGGTGTTGGTAGCTCACACCTGTAATCCAAGCTACTTAGGAGTGTGAGATCTTAGGATCCTAGTTCCAAACTAGGCCAGACCAGAAAGTTTGTAAGACTTATCTCTAATAAACTACTCCCCAAAAATATGGAAGAGGAGCTATGGCTCAAGTGATAGAGTCTCAACTTTGAGCACAAAAGCTTAGGGGCAGTGCCCAGGCTCTTAAGTTCAAGCCCAAGGACTGGTACCAAAAGAAAGAAAGAAAATAAAAGCCAACTGTAGAGCTGTGGCTCAAAGGGTAGAGTACTGGCCTTGAGTAGAAAAATCCAAATGAGGAGCTGGGAAGGTGGCTTAGTGGTAGAGTGCTCGCCTTGCATGCATGAGGCCCTGGGTTTGATTCCTCAGCACCACATAAGCAGAAAAATCCAGAAGTGGTGCTGTGGCTCAAGTGGTAGAGCGCTAGCCTTGAGCTGAAGAGCTGAGGGACAGCGCCCAGGCCCAGAGTTCAAGTCCATGACCGGCAAGAAAAGAAAAGAAAAAGTCAAGGTGAAGCTAAATGCTGGTGGCTCATGCCTGTCATCTTAACTACTCAGAAGGCTGAGATCTGAGGATCGTGGTTCAAAGCCAGCCTGGGCAGGAAAGTCTATTGGACTCTTAGCTCCAATGAGCCACTCAAAAATGGGAAATAGTGCTATGGCTCCCGTGGTAGAGGACTAGCTAGCCTTAAGTACAAAGAGGCTCTGAATTCAAGCCCCACAACCTACCCCCCAAAAAAAGAAAAAAGCCAAGTGAAAGAGCATGAGGCCCTGAGTTCAAGTCCCAGGACCAACACACACACACACACACACACAAATAAAACAGAGGGGCTGAAAGGTTGAAGAGGGCCAGAACATTCTAGAAGGGTCGATGAAAGGTGGGGAAAGGTTGCAGTTCCTCATGGTCCTGAGAGTTAAGAATGACTTTCTTCTTGCCTACAGGTCCCGTGGTGGCCCAGCTTGAGGCTGGGCAATTCTTTGATGCTTCCATCACAAAACAGCATATCTTTGTTTCCGTCCATGATGCTGTGACTTTTGCCCTTCAACACTCCAAACCTGATTCCATCACTTCCACTTTCGTAAGCTTTCTGGCTCACTGAGCTATTTTGGTGGGGTTTGTTGTTGTTGTTGTTGTTAATTTGTTGTTTGGCCTAATTCTGAGACCACTCTCCCCACCAACTCTAGCTGCTCCATGTCAATAACCATAGCTCTGTCTCCATCATACCTTTTCCCTTCGTGCCCTTTGAGGGGAAAAATCTGTTCCCTTCGGGGTGGGTGGGGGTGGGGTGGCAGTCTCCAAGAGAAGAAATTGGAGGGGGTCCATTGGAAAACTAACTAGAATCTTCCTTCCTCTGCCTACTCAGGCCACCAAACTCTGAACATGCTGCTACCCAGCCCACCACTGCCTACCTCGGGAAATTGGAACTGGTCATTGGTGAGAAACTCTCCTGCCTCTTGGCCAGGTCTAGGTGCCACCCAGAAGAATCCTCCATGAACAAAAACATCATAACTCAGGGACAGAGAGCCTGGAATTCTGCAATCACTGCTGCAGGCCTGGGACAGGGCGCTGAAGTCAAGCCGGTCTTGGCTGGATTACAGGGAGCAAGCAGTCCCTATTTTCAGCACCAGAAATAAAGACTTATGTACATAAGTCGAGGCTGTACTATAAGCATGGGGGCTGTCTGGCTGGGAGAGGGGTAGAAGTTGGGGATATCTGGGGGAGGGCAGTGTCAGGGAGACATCATAAAGAACCAAGGAGAATGGCTGGGAATGTGGCTCAGTGGTAGAGTGCTTGCCTAGCATGCATGAAGCTCTGGGTTCCATTCCTCAGCACCACATAAATAGAAAAAGCTGGAAGTAGTACTGTGGCTCAAATGGTAGTGCTAGCCTTGAGCAAAAGAAGCTCAAGAACAGCACGCAGGCCCTGGTGCCGGTGGCTCATGTCTGTCATCCTAGCTACTCCAGATGCTGAGATCTGAGGATTGAGATTCAAAGCCAGCCTGGGCAGAAAAGTGAAAGACTCTTATTTCCAATGGACCATTTAAAAACCGGAAGTAGGGGCTAGGAATGTGGCTTAGTGGTAGAGTGCTTGCCCTAGCATTCATGAAGCCCTGGGTTCAGCGCCTCAGTATCACATAAATAGAAAAGGCTGGAATGGTGCTGTGGTTCAAGTGGTAGATTGCTAGCTTTGACCAAAAAAAAAAAAATGCTCAGGGAGCAGGGCGCTGGTGACTCACACTTGTAATCTCAGGAGGCTAAGATATGAGGATTGCAATTCAAAGGAAAGGCTGTGAAACTCCAATAAACCACCAAAAAACCAGAAATGGCGCTCTGGCTCAAGTGGTAGAGCGCTAGCATTGAGCTGAAGAGCTGAGGGACAGCGCCCAGGACCTGAGTTCAAGCCCCAGGAGGCAAACAAAAACACTTCAGCTAAGAAGCAAGTACAGATTTATAAAATATGAACATTCCCGTATGGCCCTGGGAGAAGTAGGACTTCTTTTCTGATCAGCTAACACGAATGACTGGAAGGGACCCTTGGATCTTTCTAGCCTTCCGTGTTGTCCTGATCAGTAGAGGAATGGCTGTATTGACCTCATGGGCTGTTCGGTAAATATTATGTGACTAAGTATCTGGGCACACTTTGAACACTGTAGGGTTCCGATCACCTGCTCAAAAGGTGAACTTTGCCATTCATTAGGTCCTGATTGGGTGCTGCCCAGGCGCCAGGCTTGTGTGCTGGGCATTAGGCAAGATCTCCAGGGTGAACAGAGGCTGTCCTGTCCTCCAAGCCACCCAGGCTCCTTGCCCGCTTCTATTTTTAATCATGGCCTCTGCCAGTGCCTGGCACTATATTTACACACCACTTGTCCTCCTTCCCCTCCACCCCCTGCCAACCTCAGCCCAGGAAGTCAGAACTTTTTGTCTGTTTCTGTCCCACTTTCCTTTGGCGCCAGGAATGGGCAGTTAGTAAATATTGGCTAAAAAGAAGGCAGGCTAGAAAGGGGAATTGGAATAGAATTGCAAATAGAAGAGCTTTGAAGAAAATTGCACAGGTCACACTAGAGAGATGGGTCTGAAGAGGAGTTAACTATTAGGAGGTGATTTTATTATTATTATTAATCTTTGTCAGTCATAGGGCTTGAACTCAGGGTCTGGGAACTGTCCCTGAGCTTTGTCACTCAAGGCTAGCACTCTACCTATTGGAGCCACAGTGCCACTTCTGGTTTTCTGGTGGTTCACTGGAGAAAAGAGTCTCATGGACATTTCTTCCCCCTGGCTGGCTTTGAATCCTGATCCTCCGATCTCAGCCTTCTGAGTAGCTAGGATGACAGGCGTGAGCCACCAGCACCCTGCACTAAAAGGTGACTTTGGGGCTGGGAAGGTGGCTCAGTGGCAGAGCGCATGCCTTGCATGCATGAGACCCTGGGTTCGATTCCTCAGCACCACATAAGCAAAAAGAAAAAAGCCGGAAGTGGCGCTGTGGCTCAAGTGGTAGAGCGCTCGCCTTGAGCTGAAGAGCTGAGGAACAGCGCCCAGGCCCAGAGTTCAGGCCCCCGACCGGACCCAAAAAAAAAAAAAAAAACCTAAAAGGTGACTTTCTAAGAAGTAAAACATGCCAGAAATCACAAGCCTGCTGGATTCTTCAGGAAGTCAAGAAAGGAAGCCTTTTTCCTTCCTTCCTTCCTTCCTTTCTTTTTTTCTTCCTTCCTTCCTTCCTTCCTTTCTTTCTTTCTTTCTTTCTTTCTTTCTTTCTTTCTTTCTTTCTTTCTTTCTTTCTGCCCTCCCTCCCTCATCTTTTCTGTATGGGTAATGGCTCCTTCATCTGAGACACAAGACCCCTGATTGCAGGATAGAAAACAGTGAACATTAGAGATTGTGGAGGGTGTTTTAGATTTTTAGAGGGGTGATAGTTGAGGGTGGAGATACAGAAGGAGGTAGGAGACTCCTTCAAAGCCAAATGCTAATGGCTCACACCTGTCATCCTAGCTACTCAGGAGACTGAGATCTTAGGATCATGGTTCAAAGCCAACCAGGGCAGGAAAGTCTGTGAGACTCTCCAACTGCAACGAACAACCAGGAAACCAGAAGTAGCACTGTGGTTCAAAGTGGTAGAGCACTAGCGTTGAGCAAAAAGAGCTCAGGGGCAGTGCCCAGATCCTGAGTTCAAGCCCCACGACTAACCAAAGAAAAAAAAAAGAGAAAAGACTCCAGGAAGAGTCTTTTGGAAGAGTGGTACCCCCCTCAGATCTGTGCCCCCCCCCACCCAGTTACCCTACCACCTCTGATTTTTCTGGCCAGGCTGCTTCATCAAAAAATTAATTAATTGCCGGGTGCCAGTGGTTCACGCCTGTAATCTTAGCTACTCAGGTGGTTGAGATCTGAGGATCGTGGTTCAAAGCCTGCCTGGGCAGGAGAGTCCTTGAGACTCTTATCTCCAGTAAACCACTAGAAAACTGGAAGTGGCACTGTGGCTCAAAGTGCTAGAGCACTAGCCTTGAGCAAAAAGAGCTCAGGGCCAGCACTCAGGCCCTGAGTTCAAGCCCCACTACTGACCGAAAACTAAATAAATAAGTAAATAAATAAAAAGGGCCATGGGCCCAGCTGGAACTTGGTACCTCAGAGCTGACCCTGCCCTTGGGGGAGGGGTGTTTGCCGGTTGCCAGGCAACCAGGTTCTGGCCTCTTGACAGTGGCCGCAGCTATGCTGAGTGTTCAGTTCTTACTGCCGCTGCTCTTACTAGCAATGTCTGCCCCAACCCATGCCTGGTCACGCCCCGTCTGGTATCAGGTGGGGCTAGACTTACAACCCTGGGGATGCCAACCGGAGAGGCTGGATGGTTGTAGAGGTGGTCTGGGTTGTCCTGGCTATTGGATGGGCCTGGGAGGGAACCGCATCTACCCTGTGGCTGGGGTCACGATCACTACCACCATGATGCTGGTGATCAGTCGTGTGATGATGCAACGGAAGCGATCTCCCCAGCTCACTACAAATCAGGTGAGCTGCTTCCACTCATGCCCAGAAGACCCGTATCCTCCACCCATTCCTCTCCCACCAGCCTTCCTGTCAGACCTCACTCACCCCCCCCCGCCGCCCCATCTCCTTTCTTGCATCTGTCCACATGTCCTGACCATTCCCTAGGAATGGATCAGCTGCCTGGCTTATTTGTCTCCCTTCTTCCCTCCTTTTTTTTTGGGGGGGGGGTAAGGCATGGGGCTTAAACTCTAGGCCTGGGCGCTGTCCCTCAGCTCTTCAGCTCAAGGCAAGTGCTCTACCACTTGAGCCACAGCACCACTTCTGGTTTTCTGGTGGTCCATAGGAAATAAAGAGTCTCATGGGCTTTCCTGCCCCGGCTGGCTTTGAGCTGCGATCCTCAGATCTCAGCCTCCCGAGTAGCTAGGATTACAGGCGTGAGCCATTGGCACCTGGCTTGTCCCTGAACATTTTTGCTCAAGGCTAGTGCTCTACCACTTTGAGCCATAGCTCTACTTCTGGTTTTCTTTTTTTTTTCTCTTCTCCCTTCCTTCCTTCCTTCCTTCCTTCCTTCCTTTCTTTCTTTCTTTCTTTCTTTCTTTTTCTTTCTCCTTCCCTCCTTCCGTTCCTCCTTCCCTCCTTTCTTTCTTTCTTTCTTTCTTTCTTTCTTTCTTTCTTTCTTTCTTTCTTTCTTTCTTTCTTTCTTTCTTTCCTACTTTCGCCAGTCCTGGGGCTTGAACTCAGGGCCTGGACACTGTCCCTGAGCTTCTTTTGCTCAAGGTTAATCCTCTAACACATGAGCCACGGCACCGCTTCTGGCTTTTTCTGTATGTGTGATACTGAGGAATTTAATCCAGGGCTTCATGCATGCTAGGCAAGCACCCACCCGGTTTTCTGCCAATTAATTGGAGATAAGAGTCCCACAGACCTTCCTGCCTGGGCTGAGTTTGAACCGTAATCCTCAGCTCTCAATCTCTTGAGTAGCTAGGATGACAGTCATGAGCCACAAGCATCTGGTTCATTTATTCTCCTCTAGTACTCTTCCCCATCCAACCCATCCCTCCCCTACCCATCCATGGGTCCCATGCCCACCTAGTTTCATGGCACACCCTCCCCCCCCATTGGGTCTATCCTCCTAAGTCTCCCTCCTGATCCAGCCCCTTTAATCCACTCTACCCCCATCATCCTAGGTCTTTTCCTGAATTCTATTGCTGACTTTTGCCTTCCTCCCCCTCCCTCCTGTCTTTTGCTCCTAGTCTCAACAGTCACAAGTGACCCCCAACCCCAGTTGTCCCTGGAAACGGCGGGCCACCGTCTCAGACCGCACCCTCCTCCTAGGGGTCCTTCATATGTTGGATGCTCTACTGATTCATATCGAGAGTCACCTGCAGTGCCTAGCCACCAAGCAGCAAATTCAAATAAAGGGGAATCCCACCCAGTGTGGGTGACCAACATGTGAATCCTTTTTTTTTTTTTTTGTCGGTTGTGGGGCTTGAACTCTGGGCCTGGGTGCTGTCCCTCAGCTCTTCAGCTCAAGGCGAGCACTCTACCACTTGAGCCACAGAGCCACTTCCAGTTTTCTCATGGTTTATTGGAGATGAGAGTCTCATACACTTTCCTGCTCGGGCTGGCTTTGGATCACAATCCTTAGATCTCAGCCTCCTGAGTAGCTAGGATGACAGGCCTGAGCCACCAGCACCCAGCATACCTCTTTTTCATGGCTAGCCAAGCTGAGGGTGGCCCATAGCTCCTGGGCCCCACAACTCGAGATTATGTGTCCATTATCCCTCTGGGTCCTTATCTAGATTTGGTGGCTTCTGTTCCCTCTCTAAGAGGCCACATCTATGCTGTAGGAGGAACATCTGGGTAACTCCACTCATGATGTTGGTGATACCTGTGCAAGGCTGTGATGTTAGACAGGGATGTTGCCAATTCACTGAAGGTGAGGTGAGCCCAGAATTCCTTCAAGGACAGGATGCCAGGATGGGTGTAATCAGATAGGCCCTGGGGAAAGCACAAGCTGTACATCAGCCACACCAATCTACCTCCTCCTCCTCCAAGGACCATGCACAAACACAGCCTGAACCGTAGCTAAGCACCTGCTAGGAAGGTGGCCTAGTGGTAGAGTGCTTGCCTAGCATGCATGAAGCCCTGGGTTCGATTCCTCAATATTACATACTCAGAAAAAGCCGAAAGTGGTGCTGTGACTCAAGTGATAGAGCGCTAACCTTCTGCAAAAGAAGCTCAGGGACCATGCCCAGGCCCTGAGTTCAAGCCACAGGACTGGCAAAACAAACACGTCCCAGTGCTGGGTGCTGTGGCTCATACATGTTACCCTTGCTATTCAGGAGGCTGAGATCTGAGGATCACAGTTCAAAGCCATTATCTCTAATGGAGATAAACCACTGGAAAGTGACACTGTAGCTCAAGTGGTAGAACACTAGCCTTGAGCTGAAGAGCTTAGGGACAGTGTCCAGGCCCAGAGTTCAGGCCCCACGACCGACCCCCAAAAAAAGAGAGTCTCATGGACTTTCCTGCCTGGGCTAGATTTGAACTACAATCCTCAGATCTCAGCCGCCTGAATAGCTAGGATGATAGCCATGAACCCCTGGTGCTCAGTGCAATGTGGAATTTCTGCTAAATGCTACAATAAGGGTAAACCTTGAAGACAGGGGCTGGAAATGTGGCTTAGTGGTAGAATGCTTGCCCGGCATGCATGAAGCCCAAGGTTCAATTCCTAAGTACTACATAAATGGAAATAGGCAGAAGTGGCTCAAGTGGTAGACTGCTAGTCTTTTATTTGGGGGGGGTCCAGGGGCCTGAACTCTGGGCCTGGGCACTGTCCCTCAGCTCTTCAGCTCAAGGCTAGTGCTCTACCACTTGAGCCACAGCACCACTTCCAGCTTTTTCTGCTTATGTGGTGCTGAGGAATTGAACCCAGGGCCTCATGCATGCGAGGCACATGCTCTACCACTGAGCCACCTTCCCAGCCCCTTAGTATATTTTTGAAAAGAAGAAAAAAATGTAGGAGAAAACACAGGTGAATGTATGATATAAATATCAAACAAGCCAGGCACTGGTGGCTCACGCCTGTAATCTTAGCTACTCAAGAGACTGAGATCTGAGGATCTGGGTTCAAAGCCAGCCCAAACAGGAAAGTCTGTGAGACTCTTATCTCCAATGAACCAGCAGAAAATTGGAAGTGGAGCTGTGACTCAAAGTGGTAGAGTGCTAGCCTTGAGCAAAAAAGTTTATGGACAGTGCCCAGAGCCTAAGTTCAAGCTCCAGGACTGACTAATAATACTAATAATAATGATAACAATAATAATTTTATGATAGCTGATACTATATGCCAGGTTCCATTCATAAAGTCACAATCTTTGAACTGTGTCATGGAGTATTGATTGTCATCACTGCTTGGGTAATGGAAAATTTAATGAAACCAGCTATGCTATTGGTAAGCAACTGAATTTTATGGCACCACCACCATATATTCCTCTGTTATAGACTAAAAAAATTCAATATGCAGTGAATGTCTGCATTATGTGGCTTAATTCCTCATAGCCCTGTGATGGCAAATATTGGAGCTAAAAAGACAATACAGAGAGGTTACCTAGGGGCTGGGAATGTGGCTCAGTGGTAGAGTGCTTGCTTAGCATGCATGAAGCCCTGAGTTTAATTCCTCAGTATCACATACACAGAAAAGGCTGGAATCGTGTTGTGGCTCAAGGAGTAGAGTGCTAGCCTTGAACAAAAGAAGCTCAGGGAGAGTGCCCGGGCCCTGAGTTCCAGCTGTAGGATTGACAAAAAAGAAAGAAGGAAGGAAGGAAATGAAGGGAAGAAGGAAATGAAGGAAGAAAGGAAGGAAGGAAGGTTACTTAGCCTTCCAAAAATTCCACAGCTAATGGCAGTCCATTTTTCATGATCAAGTGCCAGATATTTCACTTCTTGAATGCTCTTCTTCTTTGGATGTGTGTGTGTGTGTGTGTGTGTGTGTGTGTGTGTGTATACACCAGTCTTGGGGCTTAACCTCAGGACCTGGGCACTGTCCCTGAACTTTTCTGCTCAAGGCTACTGCTCTACCACTTGAGTCACAGCTCTACTTCTGGCTTTTTTGGTGCTTAATCAGAGATGGTCTCACAGACTTTCCTGCTGGGCCTGGCTTTGAACCATAATCCTCATGTCTTAGCCTCCTGAGTAGCTAAGATGTCAGGTGTGAGACACTGGTGCCCAGCTCATCTGTCTAGTAGGCGACATTTTTTTGCCCATTTCTGGTAATTTCCAATCACTTCTATGATTTTCCATATACCAGTCACTCAAGATATTGAACATTTTTACTCTTTTGTTCAATGTGTGTGATCAATCCAGTTCCAAATAGATGCAATATTTATTCTTGTATAATGTTAAATTATTGTTCAAAGCATACACACACATATACACATGTGTAACAAGAAGAGCCTAAGAACACAGACAAGTACAACGTGTGCACTCATGGCTCATACTTATAATCCTAGCTACTCAGGAGGCTGAGATCTGAGGACCATGGTTCAAAGCCAGCCCAGGCAGAAAAAGTCCATGAGACTCTGATCTCCAATTGACCACCAAAAAGCCAGAAATGGAGCTGTGATTCAAGTGGTAGAATGTTAGCTTTCAGCTCAAAAGCTCAGGACAGCACCCAGGCCCTGAGTTCAAATCTCAGGACTGGCCCACTAAAACAAAAAACAAATGTAATGTGGTTTCCTGAACGGGACCCTAAAATGTAAAAAGGATTGTAAGGAAAAGAAAAAAGTTGTGTAAGCCTGAACAAACATGATGGACTTTAGTTAATAATGGTCAGATAAAAGTCCATTGATGGTAACAAGTGGCTGGGTGTGGTAGTGCACACCGATAATTTCAGCTACTGGGAAGATGGAGTTACAAGGACTGTGTCCCAAGTTTGAGAGCCTGTCTGAAGAAAAAACTCAAGAAAAAAAAAGCTGGAGGTGTAGTTCAAATGGGAAAGGCAAGATCCTGAGGTCAAATACTGATAAACTGAGATAATATGAAGTATTAATATGGGAAACATATATGTTTGTGGGCTTGTATAACAGATTTGTTTTCTTATTTATTTTTGTCGGTTGCTGGGCTTGAACTCTGGGACCTGGGTGCTGCCCCTCAGCTCTTCAGCTCAAAGCTAGTGTACTATCACTTGAGCCGCAGTGCCAAAACTTCTGGTTTTCGGGTGGTTCATTGGAGATCAGAGTCTCACAGACTTTTCTGCCTGGGCTGGCTTTGAACCATGATCCTCAGCTCTCACCCTCCTTAGTAACTAGGATGACAGGTGTGAGGCCTTGGTGCCCGGCTATAAGCGATTTCTATATCAACTGCTCAACTGTTCTGTAAAGTGAAGATGGAGTTTGGTAGATTTTTCTGCCCCAGCCACCTTCAAACCTTTAATCTTCCAGGTCTCAGACTCGTGAGTAGAAGAATTGCAGATGGGAGCAACTATCACCAGGCCCCACAAAGATGTTAACACACACTAAACATCGTTTATCCCATTTATTTGGGGGGGGGGCAGTCCTAGAGTTGGGTTCTGTCCCTGAGCCTCTCTGTGCTCAAGGCTAGCACTCCACCACTTAAGCCACAATGCCACTTCTGGCTTTTTCTCAGTAGTTTATTGGAGATAAGAGTCTCACAGAAGCGGGCTCTGGGGCACGCTGGTCCGCCTGCCAGCAGATGGACTTGACAGACAGATACCTTTGCAGACAGACCCAGCTTGGGACTGTAAAGGTGTATATCCTCCTCGCTCCCGCTAGGGGGAGACCGAGCGCCACGCTGTCCGTACTGCGCCTGCGCTTTAGGCTCCCACCGCCGCCCTTCCGCGCCTGCGCGACGCACAGCGTCACGTTTGACGGAAGCTGCAAGATGGCTGCGTCTGCGGTTTGCCGGGCGGCCGGCGCCGGGGCCCAAGCGTTACTGCGCACCCGCCGTTCGGTGAGGCGGCGAGGAATACCCTCCTTGGGGGCCGGGGCTTAGGGCCACCACGGACGAGTCGTTCGCGGTGGCGAGTTGTGGCGGGAGGCGCGCGCGCGGGGTCAAGGGTCGGGGGAAGGTCACGCC